GCCATTTAAAGAAATCATAATCTAACACATACCTAGCTAGATTACTTACTAAAAGTTCTAAGACTCCATTCCTGGTCTATCCCCGGCCAAGACGACTACAGACAGACACAGACCCTTTGTTTCTCTCCCTCCTCCCAGCTTTTGAAAGTATCTTGTCTCCTCATTGGTCATTTTGGTCAGGTGCCAGCGAGGTTACCTTTAGCTTCTTAACCCTTTACAGGTGAGAGGAGCTTTCCCCTGGCCAGGAGGGATTTCAAAGGGGTTTACCCTTCCCTTTATTTTTATGACACAAGGCCAAGAATTGGCCACACTCCTGGTGCATAACTGGGCACCACAAGCCTATTATTTTGATCTCAGTTGCCCCTGATTGCAGGCTTACTCTTCACTCTCTGTACTCAGGTCAGTGATGAGCTATGCAGCCTCAGAGAAAGCTCCAAGAGGCATTCTGTCTCAAGGAAACAGAGGGCCTAATTTTCTGCTTATATAATGTGGCTGCATTGACCCAGAATATCTCCTGGAACTCTCCAGCATGCAGCGGCGGGGCAGGGGGGATGGAAAGAGAATGCCAATAGCTAAATTCCATCAAACATATTCCTCCTCTGTGTCCAACTAGTGCTGCTGGCCATGACCTCACCTACTGCATCCCTACCTCCGTTGGGTTGCTTTGCAACTCAGTAGATGAAGAGAGGGGCCAGCCCCTTGTGAGTTAAGGAGCACCAGGACTGCAGGAGTGCCCAGCTGCTGTGTCGGGGCATGGCACAGGTGAGACTCTTCACACGCTCCTCACCCTTGCATACTGACTCCAATGAGAGGTCCCGTTGACTGAAAACGGTGCGATTTACCATGCTGTGTGTCACCTGGCTGTGTAGCTTTGGAAGTATGTGGTTAATGGAACATTTTATATTCCAGATATTCCAGAACATTTTATATTCCAGCTATCATTAGCTTACACATATGGGCCAGGTCCCACTCCCATTCAAGTCAATAGGAGTTCTGCCATTAAATTCCATGGGAGCATGACTGTGCTCATAAATACTAGGAACATGGGAAAATAAACGGGGAGCTCTGCCTCAAAACCTCTGCTCATTTTTACCACCAAACTTACATTTATTTGTATACCATTCAACATGTCCTTGTGTATACAAGATTCCACCTTGGAAAACTTATTCCAGAATGTCCCTTTTCCATTTGTGTTTATGCTGTAGGTCAAAGTCTATTTTAACTTATCACCCACATTAAAGGAAATTTCACATGGTATAAATCAGGGCACAATTTGGCCCAATACTTTTTATTCGCTATTTATTACATTCAGTGCGCAACCATGCTTAATACTTTACATGAGACATGGTGGGCCTTCTGGCTTTGGGATGTGTGGGACTGTGAATCTATGAGTCCTCCTATTCATTCCCTTCCTTCATGGGCCACGGGGAGAATGGGATTATGTACACTGCTCTCAACATGCTCATAAACATTAGCAGCTCTGCATTAAGATAATTACTATAATCAAATCTCATGTGTCAGGACTTCATCTGTTCATCTGCCCGGGTCAGGAAGGAATTTTTTCACTGATGAAAAATTAGCTAGATGTATTCTGTTTTGAAGGTTTTTTTCCCCTCTCCTTCCTCTGACACATCAAAGATTGGCCACAGCTGGAGATGGAACATGGGATGGGATAAACTAATGCTCTGAGGTGGTACAGAGAATCCTCTTTCTGGAAGCCTGGCTGGTGTGCCTTGCTCACAGGCTTGGGGGGTCAGACTGACTGCCAGATTTGGGGCTAGAAAGGAATTTTACCCCACATCAGATTGGTTGGGATCCAGGGGGCAAGGGAAGGTTCCTTTCCTCTGCAGCAGAGGTACAGTTCACCTGCTAGGATCATCTGGGCATATCTCACCTAATCAATTCACTGCCATTGCAGGGGCCTCAGGCATTGGTGGCACCTTGATCTCCCTCTCATTCTTTGCCTGTGGCACATAACTTAGTCTTCTGAGGACTGAAATGCATTGTCTAACTAGTCTTTGAGTTTAATATACGTATTTCTAGATGAAAATTAATGCACTGAGATAAACAGCAGGTCAGATTAGCTGATCTAATGTTCTCTTTTGGCCTTAGACTCTACGAATCTCTTACCAACTAGTACCTTCCATACTTACATCATACATACATTGAAAACATTATTCCTGTTGCTTTGTGAATATAAATACAATGGAAGTTTTTTGGATCTCTCGACATAATATAAAATCAAATTTCTGTAATACTCTTTCAATTAACTCCCTTGAATCATGTAACACAATGTACTTTTTCTGTTAACCTTTAAAATATCCAGAGAACAACAACTTAAACATATTAAAGAGTTTAATTTATAACAATCACTTGAAAGAGATTCTATTTGCACAAAAGACACCAGCTTCTAGCCCTTTTCTAAATTATTATAATTGAACTTAACCTTTCCCTTCCCTTGAGTGGCCTCTTTACAGTTATGATGCCCGACCTACTTCTTAGCTGTTTCCCTAACGGTAACAAAATACCCTCCAGAATTTCCCAAATGATGAAAAATCAGTGTTGACAATGTTTAATAAATAAACTTGGTTAAAACAGTCTAAATCTATGGATCAGAACCCCCAGCAGTCCTCTCTCTCTTCCCAAAGCTGATTTGCATACTGGGTCATGGAACAGTTTCCAGGATATTTAACTGGAGACTTCACTGAAAGATCCTTAATAATGTGTTCCTATACCACTTCATGTAGCATGCTACCAAAGAAAGCTCCAGTCTTGTGGTCCTTGAACAGCTAAGTCACCTTTTGAAGTCAGTAAGCATTTTGGGTGTGTAAGAAACATGCATTCAGGTCCTAAATGTATTCCTTGCTGGGAGCCAGATTCTGATACTCTTACTCAATGTTGTATAGCGCCTTACTACACAAAGAGTCCCAATGACCTCAATAGAACTATAGACAGTACTACTCAATCAGAATCTGGCCCTTGAGGATTAATAAGGCTGCCTCTGATGAAACATGTATATCTACACACAGAGAAAGAATAAGTGGCCATGTGGCATGAAGGTTTTATCAGTAGGAATTTAAAATGGCTGCATTACTCACAAGGGCATTGTACATAGACCGTCTCAAATGAATTCCAATAACACTTCTATAGCACATCACCTAACATACATTATGTATGTGCCACATGTAGTACAGCATGCTACTGAAGCGATACATTATAGTGTTTTGGATATTGCCTATACATGGTGTCACTTATACATTAGTTGTACGTCCCTCCAACTTTAAAGCCATCCTCCCTTAGAGCTATGTTTTCAATTGCCAAGGGATAAGAAAACTATAACTAATAAATATTAGAAATCTCGATAAACACTTTAAAATACTATTTTTATAGTAATAACTGACTTCAGCAGAAGCAGACTTAGGCAAAGATGGTTGAAAATCCTAGCGCTAGGCAAAGATGAGTATTGTTGACAATTCCACCCTTACAATCTAAGAGGCTAAAACCTACTAAAACTAAAAGCGGTTATTGGAAATCTAGGAATCTCCACTTATAAAGAAACTAGTCTAGCCCCAATGCTTCATAAGTTATTGGGCATTAAGTCTGATCCAGTTTTAAGACTTAGGCCCAATTTTGGTGAGAATTTCCATATTTGGGGGAATGAAAGAAAAGAGGTTGTGACTGGAGATTTTTTTTTAATGACAGTTCATTAAAACTGTTCGAAGAACCGTGGTCATGTTAGAAATAGTACTGATAGAAATGAATCTAGGGGAAATTGACCTGGGAAAATACTAAATTTTTTTCAACAAAACTTCATTTGAAATTTTAAACTAATTTATTTCAGCTGGGATCATACCATTTTTCATGTTTGCTTAATGCAAATATTCTGGCAAATGAATTTCCTGACAGTAATATTCACTGAAACAGTGAATTGTGAATGTGCATTTAATATTTTATTTATAAATTTCAATTTCAATATGCTCACTTAAAAGAAGTGTAAGTTCTAAGTTTCTTTGTGAATCTAGCCCCTACATCCCATTCATTTCAATGGGAGTTAAGTGCCTAAATACCTTGGAGGGTCTGGTTCAAAAGCAAGGAAAAGGTGGTCTTTGAGCCTTCCTAGCAGTATAAAGCTGCTGTTTCTACCCCTAGGGATTTATCAGACCTTAACCCTTTCACTGGTCCAAGACAAAATATCAGAATATTGTCATTTTCCACACAAAGCCACATGAAATTTGGCAGTTTCAGCTGAGTTTCACACTGAAGATCTTGAATTGACTTCATGCCCAGACTTCAAAGCAAAACTTGGGGAATGTGAACCCCATATATGCCAAAGGAAACAAAAATATTCACATACACCCCTGTGAAATGAAGCTACAGAAGTAGTGGCTATATTGGGAATTTGCCCCATTTCCAGCAATCAATAGCCAGCCACATATGTGGCTGCACAAATGCAAACCACAAGTGTTGACTAAAGAAGCTATAGTTTACCTCTGTTTCAATTATTTACCCTCGTCCTCTCTTTCCCATATGTCCTGAAAATATTTAAGGCCCCTTTGCACTGCCTGAAGAAGCACCATATCTTACATCACTGCACACTAGTCACCAACAGCTTTCAGATTTTTTCTCCCCATTGATTGATCGGGGTTGTTGTGTCTTGACTAGTCACTGCTAGGCAACATTTCAGCTCTCCAGTGAGGCAGGTACAAAGACCAGGTATTCCAAGGCTACAGCTCCAGCCACAGATTAGAGTGATGTGGGCTACTTTATGAATTGCTTGAGCTCAGCCACTGCGAGTCATGACACAATTCCAATAGAATCAGAGCAATGTCTAAGTAATCCTAGATGATGGTATTCGACTCTAAATAAGTTTGATGAGTTCTTGACATCAGGGTCTCTTGTTCACCGTATTAAATAGCACCATGCCTGACAGGATCCATAAGGAGGTCATGGTATGTTTATGGAATTAAAAAAAATGCAGCATATTTAAAATGTATCCATGCGTAAGTATTTTTATGTGTTGAAGGATGGATTTTTAATAAGTTAATTACAACTTCACAAAAGAAAGAATCATTACTCAATACACATTCAGAATCCTTCCACATCAAACATGTGTCTCTGAAATTGCCCTGTACATGTATATTAATGATACCGTCAGATGTTTAAAAGACATGCTTTGAATAATACATACTATTTAAATTAACTTCCAGTCTTACTGATCATAGTGAAAAGTGAAGGCAATCAAATTTTAAGTCAGGTTGCCTCACAATTACCATCATTAATATAGTATTTTTATTTATTATTAATATAAAATACAGTGGAAGGAGTATATTTTCTAATCTCAGGCATCAATCCTTAAATGTCACAAGCACTGCAGAACAGTTCAAGGCTCAAAGACTGAAGAGAAAACTCCTGGATCTGAAGGCTGAGAAAAGCTGTGCAGAGAATTTATAAAACCAAAGACCACTTGCTCCTCTTTTTTGGTGTTGCATCTTTCTGAAGATGTGACTGTCAATCTGTCCTGTAGTGGCTTAAAAGCGTGAGTACCAGCCTCAGGGCAGACTGTTAAGAGGCAAGGCACAAACCCCAAATTTCTTGTGAGTTCTACACTTAGATTTCACCAACCAAGTATCAAGTGTAAACTCCTCAGGCACTCTAACAGCCTAACCATGGAGTCACTGACAGTAACCTTGGAGCTCCAATTTATCTTGTCACCTAGAGAAGCTTGCCTTTGTGATAGATGGTCCCTGAACACACACACAAAAAAATCACAGAAATATTCAGGTTACTCCCAGTCCCAAAGGACTGGTCACTTACCCCAGGTCAATTGCACCTTAAATCTCACACCAAAGACAATGCTGGTAGGCAATCCTATAATAAACTATTTAAAGATTTAACTAGGAAAAGGAAATAAGTGTTATTTACAAGGCTAAAGCAGATACAAATACACACAAATAATATAGTATAATAAAATGTATAATATAATAAGCAAGCTCTATATGTCCCTTAGGAATAACCCAAGCTAAACACTGGTGCTCTCTTGCTTATGCCTAGAAAACCTTGCCCTCAAGAACCCAAGCTGCATAGAGATACAGTTTCTTCCTTTTGGGGTGTTTATCTCATTCCCCCTTTGTGCTTCTCACCTGATGGGAGGAATTCACTTGCAAGATTCATCTCAGGAGAGAGGAAAGAGCAAATCAGTGAAGTCTTTTTTCCTCTTTAAGGTTCCACAATCGTTTGTCTGGCATTGATGGGCCTTCTTTATTAGGCAGGATGTAAAACCTTCTGCTGGAAGCCACCATTTCACACAAGTTAATATCTTTCTCCTGTCTAGAAATGTACACAGTTGCAGAGGATTACAATACAAATACTTAAACATTACCTTATAACATGGGATACAGATATGATACATCAGATTAATGCATGCAGCAATATACAAGCTATTAATAAAGTCTAAACACATTTGTATAACTCTAATACCTATTGTAACCATGCTAACACACACACAGTGAGCCAGACTGGTTCTAGCAATGGATCTGTCAGTGTCCAGTTGAGACCTAGGTGCCTTGGCATGAGCTGGCACCTGGTCTGTCAGCATCACAGAGAGATCCTAGGCTGCAGCAATCAAGTATGAATAGAAACAAGGTAATGACTAGGTTCCAATGTTACTTTCACAGCCCCTAACTTCAGGAACTTGTACCTTGTCATGGTGGGACAGCTTGCATGTTCTAATGATCCCCAGAGCCTTTGTTGGTGGGGGCTTATTGCTCCTGGTAGTTTCAACCATGCTGGATTGGTCTGTGCGGGAGGAGTCAGACAAAACAGACACCCTGGTCCTCCAGGTTGGGGGTTACACACAGGGCTAACAACCCTGTCCCATAAAAAAACAAAATATATTACAGAAACAGTGATGGAGAAATTGACCATTACTGTGTGTGGTGGCCTTCAGGAGTCAATGACCCGTATGAATGCCAGTAATGAAAGCCAAAAGGAAGCCACTGGCATGAAGACTGAAGTGCTCAACACCAAGACGAAAACCAAACTTGGTTTTTGGAACTTACTAACAATGTACGAAACAGGGAAGCTAGCTCCGGTCAGAGCAGAGATGAGACACTACAGCTTATACATCCTGGGTGTCAGGAAGAGCAGGTGGACAGGATCAGGAAGTTTAACAACAGCCTCAGGAGAAACTTAGCTGTATTCTGGACAGGATGATGGACAACACCATGAGGGTGTTGCCATTCTTTTGAAGAAGGAAATGGAGCATTCCCTGCTTGAATGGAAATTCATGAGCATCAGACTTATGAGAGCCAGACTGAAAGGGAAACAATAATATCACCCTAATTCGGTGCTACACTCCGACAAATGACCGTGATGAAGAAGTAAAGGACAAATTCTACCTTACATTACAGGCAGAGTTAGAGAGAGTACCACGTCACAACCTAACTATCATCCTGGGAGCCCTGAATGCCAAGGTCGGTAAGGACAACACAAACGACAGAGCAATAGGAAGACATGGGTGTGGCACCATGAATGAAAACAGAGAAAGGCTTGTTGCTTTCTGTAATATGAATGACCTAGTCATCGGCGGAACCCTATTTGAACATTGTGAAATTCACAAGCTGACATGATGTTCTCTAAATGGCAGAGCTAAGAACCAGATTGACCATATCATGATCGATGACAAATGGCTCACTGACAGATGTGAAAGTGAGAAGGGGTGCAGATGTTGGCAGTGACCAACACCTTGTGATAGCCTCCATCAAGCTAAAACTGAGAAGTGCGAGTCCACTAAACAAGGGACATAGATATTATGACATTGACAAGCTAAAGTCCCTTGAAATACAAAAAGCCTTTGTTCTGCAGTTAAAGAACAGGTTTCAAGCACTTGCAGGCCTTGATGAAGAGGAGGGGACTGCAGATGAGGAGATCAACAAGAAGTGGGACAAAGTAACAGCAATTTATAAACAGAGCACTGAAGCCTGTCTAGGCTACAGGCAGCAGAGAAGGAAGGAGTGGATTACACCCAGCACATGGAATGCCATAGAAACCAGATGAGCTCTGAAGAAAAAAGTTTTAGACACAAAATCCCAGAAGCTAAAGGACAAATACCACGAGCAGTATAGCAAGGCACACTGGGATGTCAAACGCCTTGTGAGAGCCGACAAATGGCATTATATTGATAATCTGGCAACACAAGCAGAGGATGCAGCTGCTCGTGGTGAATGAGGAACTGTCTAAAAAATGACTTGGCTTATCAGTGGTAAACGGCCGATACCAACAAACAAGGATATCATCAGGAACAAACAAGGCCACCTACTAACAACCAAAAAAGAACAAGAAATGTGCTGGACAGAGCATTTCAAAGAATTGCTGAACAGAGAGTCACCTAAAGAGAAAGCAAACATTCAGGAGGCAGAAGAAGATATTGATATCAACACAGACACCCCAACTAAGGAAGAGATCATTCAAGCCATGACATCTTATAAAATGGGAAAGCTTCTAGCAAGGATAACTTGAATGCAGAATTGTTCAACATTGCCATGGACTGGGTAATGCAGCGTACAACAGAAGACATGCCAAGAGGCATTAAATGGACACCCTTTTCATCCCTTGAAGACCTGGACTTTGAAGATGATGTTACTCTCCTATCACATACCCAACACCATATACAAGAAAAAACAACTCGAATCAACACATTCAGCCAGCAAATTGGACTGAAAATCAAACACAATAAGACAAATACCATGACATTTATTATTGCCTCACCATCACCAGTATGGATAGAGGATTATGTTCTCACCAATGTAGAAACATACTTGGGCAGCACCATTAGCCAGGACAGTGCAACAAGCCAGGACATCCGGAACAAAATCAATAAAGTTGGGAACACCTTCAGAAGCTTAAATACAGTCTGGAAATCATCCAAATACAACAGCAAAACCAAACTCAAGATTTATCAGAACGGCGTACTTTCAATACTATTTTATAGTGCAGAATTCTAGGGAATGAGTAAGTCTGACATGTCCAAACTGTCTTCACTCCATACAACCTCCCTCAGAAAAATCCTCCGTTATCTTTTGGCCCAGAACAATCTCAAACCAAGATCTATTGACACAGTGCAGCTAAGAGGATCTGAGCATCATCATTGCCAGGAAGCATTGGAGATGGATCGGTCATGTGCTTCAGATGGAAAGTGATTCCATCACCAGAGTAGCAATAAGATGGACACCTGAAGGCAAGTGAAAATGAGGCCGTCTGAAAATGACATGGCGAAGAGTTGTGGAAGCTGAGCTAAAAAACCTGGGGCACAGCTCGGGAACCACTGAAAGACTTGCCAGAAACAAACACGCGTGGAGGAGCTTTGTCACTGACCTAAACGCCAGAGGCATAATAGGAACATGATTGATGTGATGATGATGATGATGAACTGCAGGAACATCAGAGCATATGATCCATAGCTGAGCAGTGGATTTTCGGACCTCTTGTCCCTGACATTTGGAGGTACAAAACCCTTCCCCTAGAAAGCATTCAAGAGTGGGAGAACTCCCAAAACTCCAGCAGCCTCCCTGCCCCATATAAGGAGAAGCATCCCAGGTGAGAGAGGCTAATGTAGAGGGAGGAGGGCCCCATCATCTGCAGAAGCATCTTTGGTGCTCAGATGGAGCAACAGAAAAATCTAGCTATATAGTTAGAGCTGTGGAGACAGCATGCATATGTTTTAAAGCAACCAAGAATACCAGGGAAATGGCTGGGGAGAGCCTGTATAGAAGGTCAGGAGAACAACAAATAATTAAATAGACTGTGAGCACAGCTTCATTTTTTCTGGAGCACAAGGTTGGGACCAAAATGTTAAGAGAGATTGGGGTGTAATGACCTGATAGGGAATCTTTGCAATGATTTCTATCATTCCCTACCTTTTCAGGCCCACCAAGCCTGGCTCTGAAAAAAGGTCAGATAATCGCAAGATGAAGTCCTTTTTCTTTTTTCTTTTTTCTTTTTTTTTTTGCGGGGCCTCTTGGCACTGAGTAATCCCCTTCAGTGTGTATCACAGGGTAGCTGCATCCAGCAGAGGCCTGATAGCATGTTCCCACCCCTTGTCTCCCTATAGAACAATTTGGGTGGAATTCTGCAAGGGGAAACTCCCAGACTTCCTCTCTGATAGATCTTCTTGCAGGAAGGGATGATCTAGCTCTGAGTAAAGACTTAAAGGATTTGCCCCATAGCTGACAGCTATCAGTTAACTACATGGTAAATACATCACTACATGAATCTTCTACTTGATAATTACTTTGATACCCATTAGAAGGAATCACCAAAGTAACAGTAATAAGATGTATTCTTTGGGAAATATTATAGAACTCTACAATAGTGGCCCCAAATATCACAGTCTGTAATAGTGTCATTGCATTAAAGCTAGGTGAAATGTTCTTCTCTTTTCTTTTAACAATCAGTGGTATGACTTCAAATCTTGGAATCCAGTCCGGCACCCAATGAAACCAATCAATCAAGTTTCAGAGTAGCAGCCGTGTTAGTCTGTATTCACAAAAAGAAAAGGAGGACTTGTGGCACCTTAGAGACTAACCAATTTATTTGAGCATAAGCTTTTGTGAGCTACAGCTCACTTCATCAGATGCATAAAGTGGAAAGTACAGTGAGGAGATTTTATATATACACACAGACCATGAAAAAATATACATTGTAAGGAGAGTGATCACTTAAGATGAGCTATTACCAGCAGGAGAGTGGGGTGGGGGGGGGAGAGAAAACCTTTTGAAGTGATAATCAAGGTGGGCCGTTTCCAGCACATTTCCAGGAGTTAACAAGAACCTCTGAGGAACATCCGATGAAGTGAGCTGTAGCTCACGAAAGCTTATGCTCAAATAAATTGGTTAATTTCTAAGGTGCCACAAGTCCTCCTTTTCTTTTTGTGAATCAATCAAGTTTGTCATAAAATTCAGTGAGAGCAGGACTGGGCTACTCACTGCTACAACTCTGTTGACCTCTGTTTTGTCATTGGCAATTGGAAAAGGTCCTTCAGTTTGGAGGGATTTTAACCAATAGACACCCAGTAAACTTATTGGGGGGGGGCATAAAATTTTGGGCAAAAAATTGTGAAAAAAGAAAAAAAATCATAAATGTCAAAGATTTTCAAACACCTTGGGAACAGAAAAATTTTCAATTTTCTACCAAAAACCCTGCTCTAATCAGTGGCCATAACAAACCAGAACTGGTTGGGTTTTGTTTTGTTTTTCATTCCCAGTCTTTCAGTCAATGAACTGCAAGCAGCAACTCAGAAGACAGCAGGGTTAAGTATGGCTTTGGCTTTACTGGAGTGGTTGAAGCAGAAGCACGCAGGGTCACAGGCTCCATCTCAAAACTCATTGATGGGGAGGGAGCATGCCCAGGCTGAGAACAAGGACTCCAAAGTAACTTTCTCTGTGTTACTGAAAGAGGTAGAAAAGGCAGTACGTTCAATTAACTTTAAACCAGAGCCACAACCTAAACACAACTGCAGCAACTTCATCTCTCATTCTAGCTGTGGCAGTCATAAGGGTACTTTGCTTGAGATTATGCTTGAGTATGTCCCCTGGGATCTATCCTATGAGGATACAGCCATTCTCCTCTCCAGCAAATACCTATCTCAGTGGTGACTTTTTCCATCAGAACCCTCAGAGGCAAATCACTGATGCAGTAACTTGGCTCTGACTCTGCAGCACTAGGCAATAGGAGTGACACCAGTGAGAAATGTGATTATCTGCATACATCAAGGTATTTAAAATGGAAATGGAAAGTATATTACAACTCAGTGTGAACTCAGATTAAATAAATAAAAATCTGATCCAAAATAAAAAAGATGATTAAATTTCCCCTTTTAAATTACAGTATCTGTCTGTTACAGGTGTTTGTATCAGGAGACTAATTGACAATTCATTTCTATATTCCTGCTGTCAAGCTACAATCTTGTAATATGATGACTCATGCATTCAGAGACACTGAGTACAGGAAAAAAAATCCCAAATTTGAAATCTGACCTTTCTATCAGAGATCACCCAAAGATCATCTATTTCAATTAGATTTCTATTGCCCTTGCAGCTTATGTACGAGAGAGTACGAGACCTTAAATATAATTTCTGAGGTCACCAATTCTATTTATCAATGTTTAGATGCAAAAATTGCCACTGGGGAGGGAATGTGCCTGAAGCACTGCCTTAATAGCCACATCTGTTCAAACAATGGACGATATCAACTATCATTACCATTTACTTGGTTGTGAAACATACCCCACACATAGCTTAGTAAAACAAAGTTGGTTGACCTTCATAGCATACTGCAAGGTCAGTACCTTTTCACAAAAAAATGGGTTGATCAGAATGAGTGAGGTGGAATGTTTTTAATCTTACTGTGTTTGGAGTGACTAAATTTTTAATATTATGTGTATGTTTTCAAGATTGAAATATGCATGCACCTAGACCCTGGGACAGGCACATGTTATACATCAAAATAGATATACAGAGATACACACAGTGAAAATATATTTTGTCATAATAGCCAGACTATCAGTTGTGTACTGCCTACCCTTAAAGCCATGTGTGGAGTTGGGATAACAATGTGGTTTCCTTTTTTTCTTTTCTTCGTTAGCTGGAAATCATTACACTGATTCAGATACGTTTCCAATAACTAAATAGCCAAACTAATCTTGGGCTTTTCTCTAATGAGATCACATGATAAAATGAAGGGGGATTCTCTGACAGCCATTGTCATACCATCATAAGAGGGACAAGAAGAGCACAAAGACATCATCCTCTCTTCTTACTGCTTGCCCATATGGGAGTGCATCTCATAACTTCCAACTCGCCAAAGCTCAGATGTAGAACACTGTGCGGAACAGAGGGCCAATGTAAGTCGACAGGGTTTATATCCATTTACATACTATCTGAATTTGATTCAAGGACATCAGATGAGGTATATAATATAATGTGAGATGTCAAGAAAACCAAATTAACTCCTGCTGTAACTCCTTTGGCACCAGAGTGACTTCTAGCTCAGAGAAGCTTAGCAGAGTTCCTACTGAACTGGTCATTGTTTGGCTTCCTGTTGATTAACTGCTTATGGAGTCCAAGGCTGCTGGTTTGCATCTCACTTAGGCTATATCTGCACTTGGAACGGGGCGTGTGATTCCCAGCTCAAGCAGACATACTCGTGCTAGCTCTCATCTGAGCTAGTGCACTAAAAATAACAGTGTAGCCACAGTAACACGGGCAGCGGCATCAACAGCCCTGGCTATCACCCAGAGTAAGTGCCCATTGGGTCCAGGTGTTTTCAAATGCAGAGCAAGGAGCCAACGCTGCCACTGCCTGCGCTACCATGGCTACACGATTAGTGCACTAGTGTGATGAGAACTAGCATAAGTCTGTCTACGCAAGCTGAGAAACATGCCATGAATGATAGATAACCCCTTCATCACATCTGTGTCTGTGGTGATGTACACAGTGAACAAGATTCGGATTTCACACAAGAATAGATTAGAGCAACTCTGTCCAAATCTATGGAGTTAACTGGGTTCTACACCCATGTCGGGGAGATCAGAATCCAGCTACCAGATGATGGATTTTAAATGGACTTGTTAAATCTACTCTTTTGTCTAAATCAGTTAGCAGACACAGCATCTGACTTATGTACTTAGTGTCAACATAATTTTCTATCACCTCGGTGCTATGATCCAACGTTAGTAATGTAACTAGTGTAAGACTTGTGTGAGAAAGGCAAGTTTATGTCTGTAAGGAGGAGGGACATCTTTCATGGAGTAGAATGGTTGAGTGGGATTATAATAGGTGGAGTTGGGGCCTAAGCCTGCTCTCATTGACAATAAGGGGACCCGATTCTCCCTCATTCACATCACAGCAATTCCATAACATTCTAACTCTAGTGATAGAATTGAAGTTACTCCTGATTTACATTAATGTAAGAAGAAAATGAGTACCTCATTGACTCCCTGGAAGATAGGATTAGGCCCTCATTGCCATCAGCTTACAAGTGCAGGTATACTGTTCTCAGTCAAAGGCAAATGGCCAAGGTTTTCTTTACCATTTCATCAGTGGTTGGTAATGGTTAATACTGTCTGTAATGACTAAGTTGACTAACACCTGTTTCCACTTTTGGGAGGAAGTGTCTGCTCAGGAAACCCAGAAGTTGCTTTTGCTTTGGAATCCTTATTTCTTCCTTGCCTAATTATTGAATACTCTGCACTGAGATATGTATTTTCATCTGTTTTCTTTATATAACTGGGAGAAACTAGCAAAAACCTTTTCTGGCAGATTTAATAGTTTACACATTTTTACTATTAAAAGGTTTTGGGGTTTTTTTTGGTATTCAAACTAAATTAATCATAACAAGCAACATCTGATCTAATAACGGCAATTTTGTGACTTAGTTTCATTGCAGTTTGTTTAATAAAAAACTACAAAGGTTTGCCCTAGCCTTGATAGAAAGCAAAGTTCTGTTCCCAAAGCATTTTTCTCTTCTAAAATATGGTTTCTTAGAATTTTAAGACTATTGAACACGCTTAAGAACTAAAAAAGCCAGCTTTTTAGGTCAACATTTTAAAGAATGACTAGTAATTTTGAGGGCCTCGGTTTTTGGGTTGTCAATTTAAGACACCCTTATGAGGGCCCATGTTCAGCATTTTCTGAAAATCGTACCCTTTTAGGGAGTCTCAAGTTGGAGACTCCCTAAAAATAGAGACATACAAAAATCACTAATCCCTTTTGAAAATGTTAGCCATAATGAGAGAGGGGTTCTGAAAATGATCAGCTAATAGGACTGGTTTAAACCAGAAATAGCTTGTGCAGGTACTCTACAAACTTTCCAAAATAGTTCAGATATACTTATGGAAGCATCTATCATTTAATGGACATTTTTTTAATCGAACCATCTTATAGAACATTATAGCAGAGATACAATGTTCTGTTAAATTCCAAAAGATGGTTCATAAACATATAGAAAACACCTATTGAATGTTTCTATACATTACCATATTGTAAAGCATAATGCAAAAATGTTTCCCCACTGTAGCTGTCAGCTTGGAAGAACTTTTAAGAAAACAAAGAGAAAAAGGAGGACTTGTGGCACCTTAGAGACTAACAAATTTATCTGAGCATAAGCTTTCGTGAGCTATAGCTCACTTCATCCGATGCATGAGCTGTAGCTCACGAAAGCTTATGCTCAGATAAATTTGTTAGTCTCTAAGGTGCCACAAGTCCTCCTTTTCTTTTTGCGGATACAGGCTAACACGGCTGCTACTCTGAAAGCTTTTAAGATAACAGTAATTCTGTGATGTGCAATAGATCACCAAGTTCATTTGTACTGGGGCATAAGACACAATTTGGACTCAAGCCTTCAGAGATGAACAGCTAAAACACCAGTCCTGTGGTTTTCTCATCCTGGGTACCCTATCCTGCTATTTTTTTCAGCTAGCTCTGTACTGGCAGGGGAGTTAAGACTAATTACATTATTGATACATCCTAAAACAGTAGCTAAAAGGGAAATATATTTTCCCCCTATAAATCAATGGAGAATAATTAAAAATACTCAGAAAAGCAGTTCAAATCTGGTCTATATCCCACTATCAGCCGGCTTTGTAAAGTCTTGTTTTATGATGTCCCCGCCATCCTGCCTTTCACCTGACTATATCTCTGTTCACTCTCCTTGTGGATAAATGATTGCTAGCTATAATCTGCAGTAAAGCTGTTACATCTGTACCACACGCATTGCTTTATTCCAGGTCAGCTTTCACCTCCTGGGCATTGCCAAGACTAGACGTGTTGTCTCTGAACTTCTGTGCTTTTCATTCCATTATCTCAGTTACAAGGTTTGCCTTTACAATGCTGGGTCTAGTGCTTCTCTGTGTCCCTGGTGACCTGCAGAAGGAGCACACACCTGATGAGAAAGTAAAAACAAGAGGAACAGTTTGAGTAATGTATGTACTGAAGGAGCAACTAATACACACACACACACACACAGAGAGGAGAGAGAAATAAAAATTGCTAAATTATCAAAAGTCTGATAAGGAACAGATATGGTAACACAATCTGCTCCCTCTCCCTTAACTTCTCCTTCTCAAATTTCCTTCTCACATATATACTTACACAAATCTTTTCTTACAAATGTCAACACCTGAAACCTGGGTTCTGCCGTCCTTTGCCCAGGTATTTCAAGCTGGAGCTGTGTTTTTTTCCCTGCTCAGCCCCAGCAGCAAAAGTATAGAACCTGCATCATTCATGTGGACTGTAAAAGGTGGAGAGGAAAAGAAGACAGACAATCAACTTCTGTGTAGTCAGAGGGTCTCAGTTTTTGTTTTGGGGTGTTGGAGGAAAAGCATAATGAGTTAAGTCATTTGAGAAGGGGATTGTGATTTATCATTTCATTCATTATATTGTAAGATTATTACTATCATTATCATATTAGTCTACTCTTAGCCCCTTTCTTAAGAGAAATCTGAAAGCACTTGAAAACATATTAATTAAGCTTCACAAAGGCCTTAGAAGGTAAGCAAGCACTATTACCCCCATTTTACAGAAGAGTAATGGAATGGCACAGAGAGGTTTATATTTAGGGAAATACTGCCCACCTTTTTCATACACATAGGTAATTCACCAGATTTTTTAAGGGCTGTTAGATGAGGGCCAAAGTTTCCATCACATAAAAAAATGTGAATCCCCATCCTTCTGTATGAAGGAGGCATACCAGTAAAACACTACTGCACTGATCCAACAATGTGATTCAATCAGGCAAATTCTTACACCTATACAGAGTTCTCCTGAAGTCAATGGAGTTCTACAAAAGGGCATAGATCAGAATACAAGTTTAGGGACTACCTTTTCAGCAAATGCCTTGCAAGATAAACACGTGTATTAAGTATTTGCAGGATTGTGGCCTTAGTGTTGTTTCATGTGTATATCTATTTTAAAAACACCCATTACTGGAGTTATGCCCCTTTACATAGACAAATGGAAGTTTCAACTTTTGACCCGAGGGACTCTTTAGTCTTCATCTGTTAGCTCTTAAAGATTTGGATGAGTAACCTGACACCTGAGTGCCATTTTGTGGTCATCTTGAGTTTGTGTTGAAGTACCACAGCCTCTCACAGCCTACCTACGTTTTAATCATTATTGAAATGCCTCTGATCAGCCCACGACGCTAGCCTCCATTGCCCACTTGTTAAATTCTCAACCAAGCACCTTTGTGTTCTCTTCCATGCTGCCCCTCATGTTTGGGAGGAGCTCCACTTAAAATACACAAAACCAGCACACTATCCACCTTCAAATCTAAAGCTCTCCTTTGCTTGACAATAGCTAGGCTGCTAGTGTGCTGAGACCAATTCCAATTATGCTGACCAATGTGGTCTCATCATTTCCTTGTACTCTCCCATCAGCCTGTATCCATTTGCTGTCTCTTGTCTTACACATAAATTGTAAGCTCTTTGAGGCAGGGGGTTGTCTTTTTTGTCTGTGTTTGTACGGACCCTAGCACAACTGGGTCCATGGCTAGGGATACTGGGCACCATCTCAATTCAAATAATTGATAGATTTAATAAGTGCATTTGTCATTCTCTTTAAATAAATTGAATTACGTGATCTTAAAAATCATAGGTCCTCTGGTTTTGGTCACTTGCACAAGGTAACCCAGCAAGTAGTGGCAATTCCAAGATTAGAATGAAGGAGCCTTGATTCCCATACTGCGGCTGTAAGTGCTGTCTCGGACGCACTTATACTTATGATCAACAGAAGTTTTTTTTACACGAGCTACGATTGTTGGTTTTTTGCTATGGATATTAATCAAATTACTAAGTATTGTATTGTACTAAGTATTGTAAATCATAGGCATGATCCTTCAAACTCTTTACTTAGGTGAGTAGTCCCAATGAAGTTAATATGCAGCACGAGTCAAGTGAGTAAGGATTTGCAGGCTTAGTCCTCTCTACCTATTGCTAAAGTCTGTTGTCTGATTTATTCAGAGCTGTAGTGAGAATTTTCACTATTGCCAACCTCCCCACCTTCAAAAATCATGAGTCAGGCCTCAAAAAAGATGACACTGAATTAAAATAATAAGATACTATAAAAATAATAAATTTGTGGTTCTTTTCTCTTGTCTTCCGGTATCTGAGCTTTCCACATACACTCAGGTCATGTTTTCATGCTTTTCTCCAAACTTTTTATTTAAAACTTAAAGCTAAGATTCTCATGAAAACTACTTGTCTCCAGAATCTAAGGATTGAAGAAAATCATCAAATATCACAAGAGAGCAATAAAATCACAACAGTTGACAACACTGCTTTTTTGCAAGGCTGATACCATGAGCAATATCAAACTAACTTGTTTCCATAAAAGATCCATTACCCATCAGTGCATTAGACTGTTTGTTTTGAGACTAGTTTTGAGAGAGCTGTTACAGTTTAATTCAAAGAAAAACGTGTCCTGGAATCAATTAGAAGCAAAAGTTTTTCGACGCACACAAAACATTGACACACAAAGTGTTTTACAGATTTTTTTAATTTGTTTCAATGAAGATACTGGTGCCTTAAATAGGATTCCAGTTTCTTTGTTTCCAAGCCACCCACAATCTCTCCCCTCATATTTTTTTCTATTAAACAAGCTAATTAAGTAGTATGTGATTGTGATAGATACAACCCTAGAGCTCTCTTACTCTCTCTATTAAAAAAAAACAAAACAAAAAACAAAAAAAACATGTCCACAAAGCATATTATCTTTTCAAATCAAAAGACTTTAGGGTATTTGGGAAGCATGAGACTGTGCAAAGTTTGAATGAGATGCACTGCTGGCAAGCTTTCAAACTTACTTGCAGAAAAAGACCTCTTTTGTAAAAGTCTCCCCAGGAGTAAAGCAGTTAGGCACCTGCCAGTTGCCTACAGTGGCACCATCCCACTGTGATGTTAATGAGATGAAGGAGAGCACTACCAAGAGCTGCAATAATTACAGGGTGAAGAGCTTGTCTTTTCCTAGACCTCCACTCTGGGCTGCCTGTTCTTTAAAGCAGGGTCTTTTGTAATACTAATTACAAATGTTAATTAAACATTTCTTTGGAATTTTGCCCTCCATTAATAGGTCAGATAAACAGGGAATAGCAATGACAGACGCAAGTCGTTAGCAGCCATATGAGAAAAAATACAGTTTATTTGCTCCCTTGCAATTTTTGTTTCTGCTTTGAGATATTAAACTGATACTCCAAGCACTGAAGTATAGTATTTGCTTTTTTTTAAATACAATAAAATAACAATAGTTTCAAAGTTAATGAGAATATACAGCTATTACCATTTTACTCACATTGAGAAGGCCTTATTCTGCAAGTAATACCATTAATTTCAGTAGAACTACTTGAAGAAGGCCAGATTCGGTCTTTCTTAGTCAAGCTGAGTAGTTCTTATTACATATATCGTTCCACTGATTTCATTATTGTAATCACATGAGAAATGTTAGCAGAATCTGGCCCATAGTAAGGTACTATTCAGCATGCCCTATATTTATTATTAATTATACTATTAGCAGGCCTAATCTGTTTTTTATGCACTCCTTAGTCTAAACCATTCATTTCAAGAATAGTTTTGTCTGCCTAAGAATCAATTTAAAGATTTGCCCCATTATTATTAGGCATGGACAAACCCAATTGGGTCATACTAAGAACAGACTCAGATCAACGGATGAACCTGAGATGAGTTTTGAAACTTTTGTAGAATCAGAAGATCTTGGTTAAGTAACCCCCACCCCAACCCTCTTTTTCTACCTTTACTTTAGAAGGAAAGTCACAACATAGCAAACAGGCAGACCTGCCATTTCTGAAACACTCTAATAAGCCCCACAAACCTCACCTACTGCCAGTGACCCTAACACTGAAGAAAAAAGAAAACAGCATTTTGACTCATTGCAGATCCCATCACATGTGGCAGCCCCTCTATACTAGCACAACTTCTGTGGAAATGAAATCTCACCGGCTTTTTGGAGGGCAAAGTTTCCATTCACTAGGACCCAGAAAGTAGACTAACAGACCTGCTTTTTCCTGAAGTTGCCACCCCAGCTGAGGAGTAGAATAAACCGGCCAATTCCTAAGGTAGAAATGGGGAGAGGTCTACCCAGTGTCACTCTGAAGATTACCACTGGAGGAAGGTGCAAATGGTTACCAAACCTCTACCCAGAGATCCTGCTGCCTTGCTGGAAGTTTATTCATGCTAAATTTACTCTTGACATCTTTTGTGGTTCACCTGTCTCTAATTATTTAGCTCCTGGATTCAATCTCCTGATCACTATTACTCAGAGGTGCTCACATCTTTCAGGATCCTAACATAAGTAGGTAATTTGTGGTGTAAATGTGAATCTTAAATGGATTTTAAGGGATAATTTTGGGGATAATTTTGATAATCTAGTTCAATCTCTTACATAACACAGACCATAGAACTTAATTCAGGAATTCCTGTATCAGGCCATATCTTCTGGATGAAATAGAGTATATCTTTCAAGACAAACATCCAAACTTGACTTAAAGACTTCCAATGATGGAGAATCCATTACATTTCTTAGGCAGGTTCTCCAATGATTTATTACCCCAGCTATGAAAATGTGCACTTTATTTCTAGTCTGAATGTATCTAGCTTCAGCATTGGATCACGTTATGCTTTGTCTTCTAGATTAAGGAGCTCTTTTTTACCAGAAATTTCCCCCCTGTAGGTATTTCTAGACCAGAACCACATCACCTTTTAACCTTCTCTTTGATACGCTAAATAGATAGAGTTTCTTAAGTCTCACACAGTGAGAGGATGAGCCTCCCGAGACAGGGCAAGAGTTATTACTGCACTCAGACTCCCCCAATTATTACAGTAAAGTTCGATATCATTTAATAGAAAATGATAATTTCCCTGCAGGTTTTTT